AGTCATGTTTACTGTGTACAGAGAATAATATGTTTCTGGTTAATATAAACTTAATGTGTTTTTCAAACAGGGCAGGATTAGTCAATGTGATATTTATTTCCTATATTATACTTTTGAATTTAAAAAATATCACATTCATAAAAAAGACTAGGAAGTACAGAGAATAGGGTAATATCACCTTATAGCCTAACACTCATACAATAACTATTTCCCGATGGGAAATACTCTAGACATCTCTCTGTACCTGCATTTATGTTCACTCACACACAAATACATTTTTACATAAAGTTGAGCTTATAAAATATACTCTACAGACTTTTTCCATCCACCTGTATATTTTTTCATTTTACAGGAAGACAGATGTTTTTCTATGAATGTACATTTGAAAGTGTCCCCTTCCTTAACTGATCTTCATTTGTACATATTCTTAACTTTTTCTCAAAGTGAATTATAGCAAATAAGATAATACTGAAGAATAATATTCCAGAGAATGAACACCAAATAGTTATGATAAAGTACAATTAACTGTAAGCCCAATCTATGAAGTTAGTGTACATGCTTATTACACTAACAATTTTAAAACATTTCTATTGCGAAAGTTTAAACAAGGAAAAATAATTATACAATGTATTTCCACATACCTACAATTAGATTCATTAATTATTAGTATCTTGCTATGTTTTCTCTCTACCTGTTTATTAATCTTACAATTCAGACTCTTTGGGATTTTTTTTCCTCAGCATTATAAACTTATTTTAACACTTCGCTTCTAAAGACATCAGCCTGACTGTCTAAAAAATTATGAATATTCTCCTACATTCCCAGTCCCACCCACACTGGAGGTTGAGCATCCGAAAAACTGAAATACAAAATCCTACAAAAGCCATTCTGAATGCTGACATGACGTCACCAATGTAAATTCCCACGTCTGACTTAATGTTATGGGTTGTAATCAAAACACAGCATACTAAATGTATAATGTAAAATTACCTGAAAACTATGTATATAAAACGCATATGAAGTAAATGAATTTCGTGCTTAGAATGGGTCTTCTCCTAAGATATTTTATTATGTATATGTAAATGCTCCAAAAACTAACATAATTTGAGACATAACAATCCCAGTTTCTGATAAAGGATTCTCCACCTGTATTACATGTCTAACAAAATTACAAATTTCCTAGTATTCTTTGTTATTAAGAATTGACTTATTCAGAAAGGCAACTTTCAAACCTATGAAAAATGTCATTTAATTATAATTGTGCAGCTCATCTATTTTACTACGAATACTGTTTTTCTTTTGTTTTATTTTGTATTGTTCCTGTACCGGGGATCAAAGTCATGGCCTTATGCTTGTGAGGCAGGCATGGTGCCACTGAGCTAAATCCCCAGCCCTATCAATAAAATACTGTTTTTAAAAGCAGTCTTTAGCTGAGTGTGGTGGTTCATTTCTATAACCCTAGCTCTCCAGAAGCTGAGGCAGGACAATTGCCTCAAGTTCAAGGCCAACTTGGGCTACAGAGTGAGTTCAAGGGCAGCCTGAACTACACAGTGAGAACTTGTCATAAAACAAGCAGACAAACAAACAAGCAGTCTTTACATTATTGTTCATTCATGATTTTATCTTTATTTTTGTGTACATACACTCTTTACAACACACCCACATTTGATCTCAAGCTAAAATCACTGTATCCGTGTTTATGAAGGTACTACATGTGTTGGAGAACTGTTCCTCTTCTTTTCAGAAAGCATAAATTCATTTAAACCTCTTCAAGGCTCTCTCCACAGACCATTAATCAGTGGATCACTGCCTTCCAAGAGAGTAAATACGGATTTGGTTTTTGTGCTTTAAGGAAACGATTACTGGAAACAAAAAAGCTGGCTTTAAGGGATCAGGAGGGTGAATTTAACAAAATGAATTAAGTTCCTTCCTCACTCTTTGTTTGTTTGTTTGTTTGTTTTGTACCAGTTCTTGAACTTTGGTCCTTGTGCTTACAGGGCAGACAGCGGAACCATGGAGCTTAATTCCCAGCCCCTCTTTCTCACTCTTCAATCAGTTGGCCAAGATGAAAATATAGTTTCCTTATATAGTCTCATTTATTATTTTTTCTTTTAAATCATTTCCTAATATTGTAACACTCAACCTAGCTGTGACAAGGTATAAGCTCTCTAATCATTCATATATATCTCTAGGCATAGAGCACATGTTCAACCCATTCCAGATGTCCTCAGAACTCTCTCTCTCTCTCTCTCTCTCTCTCTCTCTCTCTTTTTCTTTCTTTGGTTCTGGGGATAAAACTTGGGGCCTTGCAATTTCAAGGCAGGTGGCAGCATCACTGAGCTAAATCCCCAGCCCCACACACTTTTTATTAAAATGAAGAAAGATCCAGGCCAGAGTCAGGATTATGTATAAGTCTGACCAGGGCGTGTACTGTGCGTGTGTGTGTGTGTGTGTGTGTGTGTGTGTGTGTGTGTAGGGGAGAAGGCCTGTCCTGTTTAGAAAGAACTGCTGTCCTTAACTTGCAAGCAATATACATGCAAACTTCAATCTATTGTCCTGAGGAAGGAATTACACTTCTGTGGCTCACTCTACCACAGCCCCAGGGGACTCTAATCTGGGCACTGAACTCAGTTTGCACAGCTGTGAAACTTCGGACTCAGCCTTACCCCTGTGCTATGAAACCCATCTCCTCCTTTCTACCACCAAAACTTCCCCTGGATCCAGCCCCTGGAGGGAAGTCCCACAGGACTCAGGGACAGTGAAGAGCAAGGCCCAGCTTCCCTGGCCCGCACTCAGCAGTTATAAAAGCAGTTAGAGAAGGCTGCAGAGAGAGCAGGTATTGTTGAAAAGGGAACCACCGACTTCCTGTGATCACACGTTCCTCTCACCCTTGCCCCACAGTGGAGTGGAGGCCGCTTAGTTCAAGTTAAAGGAGGCCAGTACCCGCTTGAGTACTGAGGGGCCGCAGTGAGGGTTTTTGCGCTGTGGGTTAGGATGTTTTTCTCTGCAGCAAGACAAGGCCACCTTCCTATCGGGAAGGCCACTGTGCCTCTGGTTTTACATGATCCTGTGTATTGGCACAAGTCATGGATCTGTGGCTGTCAGATGTCAGCTCTCAAGGTTCATAGCACACGCTCTGCAGCTGCACCACCCAGCTAGGAGGGGTGAAACCAGCGGAGCGTTTTAGGCTGAGCTCATTTCCGCCCACATCACAAGTAGGAGAGAAGTCTGCGGAGAGCTTGGCTAAGCCCTCCATTAGCTGTTTTACATCTACTGGGCGAGATGCCGCTTCCCGTACTGTGTGCTGGTGGGAGGTGGCACAGAAAGAGTGCAGTAGACAGCGCTGGCCCTGCCAGTGCTTTTGGTTGAGAGATCTCTCCGTAGTTAGCGTGGTTTTTCGGTGACCACTGAACGCACCTTAAGTGCAGTCCTGCCTCCTCGCTCCTGGGATTTTATGTCACTAGATACAACCTGAGGGCACGGGACAAGAAAAAGAAAAGAAAAGGGAGAGAGGGAGAGAGGGAGAGAGGGAGAGAGGGAGAGAGAGAGAGAGGGAGAGAGAGAGAGAGAGAGAGAAAGAGAGAGAGAGAGAGAGAGGGAGAGAATATATCAACCGAAAGTCTGTTGAAAAGATCACAGAGAGAAAGAAAACAAAATGGAATGTTACCAAGCTAGACATTTTTTTTTAAGTTCAGGCAAAATAGAAATGACTTGTTAGCAGAGACAAAGAAAACAGGAAGACATTATGAGATACAAATGGGAGAAGACGGAGGCGAGTGAGAACAGGGAGATTGTTACACATCTATCCACATCTGTTGCATCCTACGAGTCTGAATGGCACAAATTCTGGGAAATAACCTGAGAGTTTTTCACTCCTCCCCCTCCCACTGACATCTCAAACATCGGTGAGAGAAGTGAGTTACATTTTGGCTTCTGGTTCCCGCGCAGCCCCATGGCTTCCTCCTTGGTTCTGACCCTCTGCGGGGAGGCTGCTGCCCTCCCCCACCCGCTCCCCACCCGCTCCCCACCTCTGCGTAGCTTCTTTCCCCCACTCAAGCATGGCTGATCACTTCCTCCTTTAGGCCACAAGCCCATTACAGTTTTATCACACTTCGTTTTAATTATTTGCCTTTAAGTCTGTTTTCACTACTAGTCTCTCTCTGGTGGGTATGCAGCTTGTTTCTACTTATTTTTGTGATCTGAGGTGTAATCATCAATACCAAACACACTCTAAAGCATTTTAAAAAGAGTAAGTGTTCAGCCGTAAGGAAGAATGAAATCCTGTCACTGCAGGCTAATGGACAGATGAAAACGACACCATAAGGCTGAGAGAGATAAGTCAGACTCAGGAAGCTAAATATAACAGATCTTCTATAACAAATCTGAAAGATAGATAAATGAATAAACTAAAGGACGAAGCCAGGCGTGGTGGCGCATGCCTATAATCCCAGCACTCGGGAGGCTGAGGCAGGAGGATCACTGTGAGCTTGAGACCAGCCTGGGCTACATAGTGAGTTCCAGGTCAGTCTCAACTACCTAGTGAGACCCTGTTTCAAAAAAAAATCAACGCCCCCCAAAAACAAAACAAAACAAAAAACTCTAAAGGACGAGGTGGTATGAAACAAGAAAGCAGACTTTTTAGAGTTGGAGAATGTGGTTGGGGGAAGGGAAAGTAAGGAAAAGATGGTAACGTATCTTGAAAATAATCAAGGCAGGTATACACAAGCACCAACACATGTTACATGGATGTGCCGAGTCCCCAAACAAGCGCATACACGGCACACATACACTAATAAAAAGAAAAAAAGAATATGTGAATAAATGAAACATGAATATCCATCCCTATGGAGCAAAGTTCTTTTTTCCTGTGTGAAGACTGAGGACAGTTTCTTTTATGATTGTCACAAAATATGTCCCAACTTAATTGTTTTTTAAAATAAGATAAAACATTTAGGGCTATCACTATGTGGATCAGGTATGACTAGGCCAGGCCAACATACCGATACTGTAGGTCTTCTTATCTCTTACTTCTCATCCCCGTGGCCGAATTTAAGGTGACTTCAGACTCAGGATTTGCCTGGTGATAGGAGAGGGCTCAGACTGCAGTCTTTCGTATCTGTCCCATCTTCAGTCCACAAACAATGGCAACAAAAAAGGGAATGGAATTAATATGAGAAAATGAAAAAATAGAAACACAGTCTTTGTAAATAGGGAGGGGAGGAGGGGTTGAGGGGAGGACAGGGGAATGGGGAAAAAATAAGAATCAAGATAGATTGTGTAAAGGTGCAAATTTCCAATGATGTGTGTCATTATATGGCAAACCTCAAGTGTACCAATCAAGGTAGATCAAGGAAAGCCTTTATTCTTTTATACCTACACTGGAGGCATTGAGAACATCATTTGTTATCCAGTTCGAAAGGCAAAATCAGGAAACTCACTTCTTGATTTCAGTACAACTCATCCCTTTCGACGCTCATTTTGATAACAGATTTGCATTAATGGTGCACCAAGGAAACTAATTATCAGTCAAAACTGCCGATTCAAATGAGCCAACAGGAAAGCGTTTATAGGGATATGTTTAGTGATGTGGTCGCAAAGTTAAAAAGTACAAATAAATGGGACTTTTCATCACTGTACTTGCTGTGAGTTGTTCCAGTTATCCATTGTGGATCAATTTTCAAGTCTCCAAATGAAGGCCTAACATAATTTATGATCTTATTTCATGATCCTGGGAGCTAAGAATTCGGACAGAAGCTCCATCTTCCTTCTCATGTCTGAGACCTTAGCTGGGGTAACAAAAAATCCAAGACTGGAACACCTGAGAGCTAGCTGAGACTCACCTTTCTTTCTCTTTGCCAACTCCAGGGAGCAGCGTATGATTGGGCAGCCCATAAACATTAAAATTTTTACAATCTCTAATATTTTAAATTAATTTTTGGTCTGAATGGAAATGTAATTTAAATACCTAAAGTAAGACTGATTTCCACGGAATCATGACAGTTCTTTGCCATTTATTCTTAAAACTTAATGAAATGGTTCATAGAAACTTTAGTAACAACCAGGATAATTCATGCCAGTTAAACAGGCAACTAACAGCATATACGAACTCATGAAAAGGTCTTTTCACTACTTATAACGTGGTAAGTATTTTACTTATCTCTTCACTGTTAGCTTTGCTGTCACTGAAAATTTCAGACTCTTTATAAACACTCACCCCCTATTTTCCTAAACCAGCTTCTCAGGAAAGATATGTGTGGTCCATCAGGGACCCCTAAGTGCTGAAAACCTGTAGCAGATGTCACTTAACAAATGGGTCACAGTACATGGAAGAATCTGCTTTGCTAACATGTTTCTAAGTATTTCTATGAAGAGGAGGCCTGTGTTTCATACTGTTTGGGGACTGAAGAAACCTCTATCTGTGATGATCGAGTGTCCAAACTGCCACCTCAAACCCACTTATTGGTCGCAAAGGGCCAGCACTGCAATTGCACCTGAATCCTGAGGTTTCAGTTTGGGAAGCGAACCCCTACACTGGGCTCGTGTGCTGACAGGGAGGGCTCTGCGTGCCCACTGCGGCACACGTGCCATAGGTTCGCAACCCCTGCTGACAGGCAAACAAATGCTTCCTTTCCTAAAGAGGAAGCCTGCTTCCCCCTCACCTTCGCTTTACGGCATCTAAACTGGGTTTTTGTACCGCTTATTCTTTAAGGAAAAAAAGGAAAGCTTCTGCACCAGTTATTCTTTTATCCACCTCGTCTTTGTTGGCCTTCACATCCAATTCAGGCTTGATTTTCTTACTTTAGCCAGCTTGGTCAGCTGTAAGTAAGGGTCTAGATAGCAGCCTAAAAGGTTAGGATTAAATGGGTGTTTTTGTTTGTTTGTTTGTTTGTTTGTTTGTACTGGGGATCGAATTCAGCACCTTGTGCTTGAGAGGCAGGCGGTGGCACCACTCCCTGGCCCTAATGGATGTTTTTTTGTTTTTGTTTTTTTAAAGAAATCTATATGGTAGTTTAGAGTTAATATTGTTAGGAATGTCAGCAGACAGTCGTCAATGCTACTTACCATGCTAAAAAACAGCCCTGAGCTGGGCATAGTGGCACACACCTGCGATCCCAGCACTTTGGGAGGCTGAGGCAGGGGGCGTGCCACGAGTGCAAGTTCTGCCTGGACTGCATAGTGAGTTCAAGACCAGCCTGAACAACACAGTGAGACTGACTCAAAATTATAAAATAAAATCAAATCAACCCTGTGGCCTTACAGTGCAATACTTAAATTGTGACTTAATATGCTACCTCAGTTCTCAGGGGAATAGGTTAATTACACGTAATTCTATTGAATAACCTGTGACGGGACAAGCTCGGTGACTCCTCAAGATGGCAAGGATGGCATAGTTTACCTGAGTTTTATGACACAGCGGGCAGTCTTCATTTTGGGTGGACAGTCAGAGTTGGAGTGTAGGTGTACCGGTGGCGGTGGGGCAGGCAGAGCAGGATTTGATGGTTTCTTGATTTTCAGACCAGCACCAGCAGTGAAGGAACCGCAGGAAGAATACATCCACAGAAGAGGCCGGCAGAGAGGGATAAGGCGACGCCCCACACCTTTCTTCAGAGCTGATTTTATCTTTTCACTAATACTGGCTGGTTGCTGCGTCTGGTTTCTGCATGACGCCCGAAACTCCAAACTCTCAGTTTTAAAGGTGAAATTCACCTGAGGCCTACAGGCCTTTGGAACCTGTGGGGAGGGGTCCCAAAGTGAGGCTAAGTTAAGGCCAACGCGGGTGCAGTGATACGTGAAGAGGGACTTGGTGGAGAACGCAAGGCCAGGCTCAGCCCTCGGCAGTACATGCTCTGGCGACGCTCCTCTGATGCGAGGGCTCCTCTTCACCACAGAATCCAAACCGGAAAGCGAAGCTGTAGGACCTGGCGGAAACCTGGCGGAAACCTGGCGGAAACCTGGCGGAAACCTGGCGGAAACCTGGCGGAAACCTGGCGGAAAGGAGACGCTCTAGTCCACACACCCTGAAACCGGAAGTCAGAACTTCATGACCCCCGTCCGGACTTCCGCGGCTTCTGCCTTTCTGATGTTAAAGAGGTGACTGGAGGGCTAATTTTGGCGATGAGTTCTCCGCTGTTTTGTCTTATGCTCTCTGGCCATATATCCTATCCTCGGCGGAAAGTCTCCCTGCTGAGAGGACTCTAATTTCTCTACTGAGGTCTCTCTGGCAAAGGGCTTGGGGTGCCAGACCTGTGTCAGATGCCGTGCTCTGGACGCTGCTGAGCAAATTCTCGAATATTTAAACAGCCCCTAACGAAGAATAACACTTCATGCAAGGTGCAACTTATGTGGAATTAAATTTTGTGATCATATTTAAAGATTTAGTGGAACGCAGCCATGCATACTTGGTCAAACATTATCTAATTGTCTGCAGCTGCAGAATTGAACAGTTTTGTCTCACAAAATCTAGAATATTTACCATCTGGCTCTTTACAGAAGAATGAGTAACTCATGCTTGGTATGACTTCTATGGCTAGCTTGGGCTTCCTCACAACATGGCAGCACAGAATAGTTGGATCTCTTACTAGAAAGTTCGAGGCTTCAAGAGTGAGTATTCAGGTCTTGGAAATTGCCGTTTTCTTAATTCTCTCTGAATTGTTCAAGTCTTGTCAAAGAATATGTGTTCATCTTTAGTCTCTACACTTGACCTATGGTCTCAGTCATAGAAATATTAACGGAGCTGAGGGCATTTGTTGAATTATTTTTCAAGTTGGTGAACCTTTTCATCATTATTTCAGTTATGAAAGTGATAAAATCTCTTTGCCTTAATTTCAAACTGAGAAAAAAATCTTAATTTCTTCTAACCTTGAATTTGCTAATGAGGATCAAATGTAGAAACAGAGATTTCAGAATTCTAATAAATCTCAGTGTTTTGACCTCATTTGCATGAGCTTTAAAACTTTCTGTTTCTGATCTTGGCATAAAATAGATTTATTATTCCTCTAAGATGATTCTGCACTGGGATAACATTCCTTTTTAATGAAAAAGTTATTGGTTGTTAAATAACAGTTCCTTTGATTTTCTGGTTCGTGCAAACTCAAAACAAAACAGAATGTAGGGTGCTGGTGTTTCATGTGTTCGGGCTGGAGAATAAAGTCTGGTATGAGTATCAGCCATAGGACTGAAAAGAAAGTTTGAAAGTCAACTTTCTTTGACCTTTTCCCTCAAAAGAAGGAAAGCTCTACAATCCTCATGGGTCAGTTGTACCAACTGATAATATGAAGGCAAGTCCATCGATCCACACCCAGGTGCCATCTGCATGCTGCCACACTCCTTTTGGTTGCTGGTCCTCAGAGACTTCTAACTGGTTATCATGTTGCTAAGTAAGAGATTGGACAAGATGGGTTGCAGACTTTTAAAGCGCATATTTAAAAGTGGTAAAAGTATGGATAGAGATAGCTCCCCCTCCGCTACTGTTAAGGTTCAGTAGATGAATTGTCTAATCACTAGTTGACAAGAAGCTGAGAGGTGTGAGAGGTGACTTTGTAAGTAGGTAGATGTAGAGGATTTTCTTTAAATAGAAAAATAAGAAAAAGAATGGTTAATAGACAGAGAGCAATTTGTGGCTGAAAAACTGTAGCAGATGTCACTTAACAAAACCAAAAATCAAAATGAAGTCCTCCTGGTTCCCGCATCCATGTCTGAGTTGTAGGCTGTGTCCTCCGAGGCTCTCACATTTCCTAACCCCCTCTCACAGAGAACACATGGCCTGCTGTTTGACATGGCATTTAGTTCACATTCCACTAGTATATGGCGATAACCCCCATCGTATAGATCTGAGGAAAACTGGAAAGAAAAGTTTGAAAGAAAACACCCAAATTTTTTACAAGGTCTTAAAACTTATCGGCAGAGGTGACATGTTTAGCAAGGAAAACTGACTTAAAATAAGAGCTGTGTATATTATATAATAGTTTCTCACTGCCTAATAAAGTGTATTGACGTGTGAGATTTCTCACAAGAAAAAAAGAAATGTGCATCTTTCATTCATTCACTTGCTCATTTGTTTGTCTATATCAGCAGTCTCCCTTTTGCTGACAGATATTTCTTAGGCACCTTCTAGAAGACAGGTACCATTCGGTCAAAGCCTTCCCTCTTATGGAGCCTGTATTTAAGAGGGGAGTTGGAGGAGAAAAAAGTGGACCAATACAAATATCACAGCTATTGAAGAACACTATGAAAAAAATCACTTAAACAGTTGAGATGAGGTAGAGAACCAGAGTTGGGGATCTTCCGAAAGAAGGGCCAGGGAAAGGCTTTCTGAGAACATGATAGGTCATAGTGATATAAACATGAAAAAGCTCCTGGGGATGGGAAGTAACGGACTTGACACACTGCTTGAGTTTAGCATATGGAATGAGATTAGGGTGAGATCAAGGCACACATGGGAAAAGTATGGAATGAAAGCCACGTAGAACTAGTTGAGAAGAAAACTGGGACTGAAACTTACAGAATTTAATGGACTCTATTAGGGAGTACAGGCTTTGTTTGAATTTGAAGTGCAAATAGAAATGTTGAACAAATGTTTTGCAAGGGGATAGCATAGACTTCCTTGTGTTTTCGCCAACTCTCTGCAGCGGAGAAGAGAGGAAGTAGGGAGAGGTTGAAAGGCTGTGCCACTCTGCCTGTCTGAACATGATATGAGTGGAATTAGGATGAAGTAGGTGAAATTGATAGATATTTTAGAGGCAAAACTGAGAAATTGCTTCTAGATTGGGTTGGGCTACTTGAAAGGAGGATGGGGAATGAGGAAACAGGAGACACCAGATAACTTTAAAGTGGCTTGAGTGAGTGGGTGGTTGGGGGGCTTCCCCACCAGGCTGCTGAGTGACAAATACTAGGGTGCAAAGGCAGGTTTGGGCCAAGAGTTCAAAAGTTCAGATTTGGACCAAGTGCTTTGTTGTTTTATGTAACAGGACATAGGGGCACTTAGGTGAGTTTTAGGCTGAGAATAGGAAATATGGATGGATATTGGAATCCATGGAGATGTACATCATTTCAGTTAATGGGAGTCACAAAATGCAATATCTGTGAAAGAGAAGCAATTGTGATCCAGCCCTTGAAAAGTTTGCTTTTATGCTGTGTGCATTTTCCCTGTTTATTGCTTCTTGAGGATATGTTTGAGTGAAAATGAGTAGGAATGAAAGTGTTACTCAGTTTGGTGTCATTTCTGTTTCCACCTGAGTTACTACAATTAGATCTATTTTAAATGCAAACTTCTTGATATCGAGTGTTGTAGGGCTGGGGTGGGTTTACATTCTTCAATTGGGAAACTGGGTTCAAAATTAAATTTTTTCTTCTATATTTAAAGGAAATATAGAAGATATCTTTCCTGATTGGTGTCAATTCAGTTGTCTGGAATATAGTTATATTACTATTACTATTAGTAGATTTTGAAAAAAGAAAACCTTCAGAAATGAAGGTTCTTAAAAATAAAGGTCCTTTTGGTACCTAAATGGTAATTTTGACCTATAGTTTTGTGTAGAGATATTTTTCCATTTTCTTTCCAGTTCACCACAGTAATTTTTAAAATATTATATAGTTTATAATTATGTGTTTAATCTAGAAAATTACAACCTTATATATTAAGTATTTAAGCACTCCATAAAATCTAGTGTCAAATTTCTGACAGGCTATAAGGTATCACAAATGCTGTGTTTCTGTAAAACATCTTAACTTTTTCACATTAAATTCCCTTGACACCAACAAAGCTCAATGCTTGACAATCATCCAAAAGGAAACTAGGGTGATTTGAAAACACAGGAGCAAATCATGAAGACTTGAATTATCTCGTACTCATCAAGAGGTTGAACATACATCCACACTCACATATATTTGTTCACACATATGTCACATGTAATATAATATAGTTAGTTGTGCGTTTGCCATTTTTCTTCCTGGACTGAGCTCTGGACAGCATGGATATTATTTGTGTTCTTTCTAGACCCTACTTATATGATAGAAGAATGTTTTCATACTCTTGTACCTGTGTTCAAGTAATTCTGGACTATTTTTGTCTTGTGCAAGCACAGAGTACTTTGCAGAGAAATATCTCGGTGTTACTCAAACTCATTCACGCACCTCCGTCCACCATACAGACTTGTTGCTAACTGGTAGATGCTGGAAACTACGGTGTCCCATCACCCTTCCCCTCATATCTGAGACTGACATCAGACAGTGTCATTAGTTTTGGCCATCAGAAAGGTGGCAAAGTGATGTGTAGCCCTTCAGGCCCAAGGCTTTAAGCACTGTGTGTCTTGTCCTGCGTTCATTCTTCTTCTGCCTCCTTGTAGGCAACAGAAAGGCCACGGGATCACACATCTTCAGAATGGAGAAAACTTGGTCCTTGAATCACTATGAGAAAGCCAACTGCTAATATTAGAACAACACATTGGATGGTTTTGTGAGGGAGAAATGAGCTTCCACTGTGAGTCTTTATGAATTGAAGGGCCCAATTCTTTCAGCGGGTAATGCTAAGTATACTTGCCAGTGCTGAGAGTTAAAGCATTGTCCATTGAAACCCAGTTGCATCTTTGGAGGATAATTTTGTTTTTACATGCTTATTTTCTTTCCTTACTTAAATAGAACACAAAAAGTGAATTTGTTTTTGTAAACAGGAGGAATAAGTGTGCCAAACTAAACATGTATAACAAATAAGTTTTTGTAATCTCAAGCTAGGTGCTCAAAATGATCACACTCCCTTATTTTCTATAACTCAAATTAAATCTAACCTTGCTCCCCAGAAATTAATCCTCTATGCCATGGTTGCAACAAGTTCTGCAAGTTGTAGGTAGCACAGAAGCATCAAGGAGTACCTTGTGATTATTCATTCGCTTCAATAATGAACTATAGTATATTGCCTATGAACTAGAGCGGTAGTCTTCATGGACTGTCTATGTGGGAGAGACAGAAATCATCCATGTAATCATCCAAACACTGGAAATAGTGCCACGAAGAACACAGAAAACTCACCAGAAGAACACTGAGAGGATATTTGATCTCATCAGAGAATCACAAGGAAGACTTTCTGGGCATAGGGACAATTGAGCTCATCCTTGGAAGATCCAAAGGAAATTGCTAGAAAGAATGGGGAGAAGGTGGGGCAGGTGTTTTAGGATAGAGAGGACATCAAGTATAGAATCTTTTACTTGAGAAGAGCATGATCAAAAGGAGAGCCTGGGCCGATGCCTGCATTATGACTGGGATACAGGAGTCTAAGGTATGTAAGTTGGAGCTTCTGAAAGACGTCAGTGCTGAGCTTTGAGGCCCTTCTTACACATTTTCCTTTTAACCCTTAGGAAAGCATGGAGAATGAATTAGAAAGTGAGAAATATTAGCTGAATCAAACATAGGTAAACCTGTTGAGAGGCCATTTTAGCTGTAGTATTTTCAAGACATCTTAGATGTTGAAAATGTTACAAATGGAGAGAAATTGATAAATTTGAGATATATTTAG